TAGGCTAGCTTTTAAAAAACTCATGAAATTTTTTCTTCAAGGTGGCAGATATTGGAAGAGCAAATGCTGTACAGCAACAACAGCAACAGCAACATGAGGAATTTGAGCGAAAACGAAGTATGCAATTTGATAGGAATGATGCTGATTTTCTTGCGCCAAAACGACTTAAAACACCTGCCATTGAACAGGTAAATTATTTAAAATATATACGATAGGTACTCGGGAAAATATAGTGCTGCGGGGGGCAAGTGTCGCTCATGCTGAGCTCTAGTGACAGTCAATTTTTCTATGATTCATTCATTCGTTTTGATGGTAAATTGGTAATGGTGCATGTCGGGAAATCGTACTCACCTTGACTTATTTCCGGTCAGCCCTACTAAGAGGGAATTGTCAACAGCTTTGTCAGCGGGTGGTAGTTTTTTATGCGTTTTTTTGCAACTGTGCGGTGCAAAAAGCATATTGTCGAAGGGTTGTCTGTCTGGGTGTGTGTGTGCCTATCTGTCTGTTTGTGCATCTATACTGCTTTTTCATCTCTAGTCCCAGGAAAGCTGCAAGGTTGAAACTTTGGGAACTTAATCTACACGAATGTACAGGCTCCCTTCCTCAAAATGGACGTTGGTGCCTGCGTGGTTCCCACGTACGGGCCCGTGAAAATTTTTGGCAGAAAGTTGCCAACTCGAGAACCTGAAAAGTTAGAAAGCTGGAATTTTAAAGTGATTTTCCTCTTTCCGTAGGACTTAACGAGTCATATCCAGCCGTCAGATTTGTTTGATTGCTACGTGCGGATTCATTTATTTATTCCTGTAGTAAATCGCCCTTCCTTTTCTTCTTTGCATGATAAGAAGACAGAAGTGCCTTTCATTTACCTCTCAGGCAATCTTTTGAAGGACATGCCATCGAAATTTCTTGTAGCAGTGGATTGCTGTTGGAAAAGGGCTGTTTTTGGCAGTTCATTTTTATTAACTTCTATTTTTCATAAGGAGGAAAATAGAGGTCATTTGACAGCGGATATTACCAGGAGGGGTTGAAGGTCTATTCATTAATTCAAAAAATATTACTGACTTTCCGTGAAACATATTGTTTCAGAAGCGCAAGTCGAATGTTTTGGCAACTGAAGTAGTTCAGGAGCAACATGTTGAAGAAACGGAAGATGGAGAGCTGGAGGAGTCAAATTCGTATGTGTACAACGAATTAGCAATCCCACCACCTGCGGGACAGCGGCTATTTTCTAATCCTTTCAAGGTTTATTTTCAAATTTCTTTCAAAATTAGCAAAAATCCTTTCAGGACGAAACAAATGTCCAGCAAGCAGACCGCTAGGCGATGCAGCATTGGTCAAAACAACTGGAAAAATTACCATCTGCACAGTTGAAAAAGCGTATTATCTACTTCAAATAAACGATAATCAAAAAACCATAGAATAATGCGTTTTAGATGTCCTCAGGTTTTTTGCATCTTTCCATTAAAGTTTGGCGGTTTTATTCTGAATGAAGAGGTGGACTTAGGCAACGGTTGAGCTGTGCGGATTATTGAATAGAATTAGTAAAAAAAGAACACTGAAAAGGTCGCCAACGACAATGAAAGAACCATGTGTTTCTTCTTGGGAATTACCAAGAAGAGAACTAGAGAAGGATGGAGAAATATCAAGCTGATGTTGAAGCAACAGAAACTTTTCATGGCATAAAAGGCGGCTTCTCCCTGTAAAGAGGCCAACATTTTCTTTTGACTTCTTTTAAAAACCTCTTCGAAACAATGCAGTTTCGATTTTTTTTTTTGCAGCGCAATGCTGGGGAACGATCAGATTCATATGAAGAAGATGATGACGATGATGGTGGTGATATTAGCTTTTTTGATTCGTTAAGTTCGGCGAATTCGTCGTTTGCTCGAAGAGGACGACGTGCAAGAGGTGGCAATCGAAAGTGGAAAAGAATACGAAGGAGAAGAAAGAAGGTGACGTTTTTTTTTTTATTTTTTGCCCTTATACGCATAAAAATTATGCATTTTTATGCGTTTTGTGCTGTGTAACAGCAGTACAAAACGCATATTGTTACGGGGTTGT